GTTGATCATTATTTTAGAAAACAGGAAATATTGATATCTGCTTCATGTTAAAATGAAGCAGTTCGTTGCTGGGATGCTGTCATATTTCCCAAGCATATAACGGGTGACTTTTTTGGTGTTTGGGCAGCGTAGTTGACAGTTCGTATATAATATCGAATCGGTATTCATCCATTTCCCATTTCCATTTGATTTGTAGATGCTTTCTTTTTTATTTCTTGTGGAAGTATTTAATTTAAATGACAACTTTGGATCCTACTATGCCTCCCCAACAAACCATGAAAATAAGTTCTGATGGTACTTGGTGAGTCCGGCATGAAACTGTGAATTATGAAGAAGCAATTGCTTTTTGTTGCGTTAGGCCACTGTGCTCAGTTTCCAATATTTCTCTAGTGCGAAACCTTGCAACATTAACCATCTATATTTCTACTGCATGGTGCTATGCTAATGCCTATTTTTTGGCAATCAAAAGTTGTACAGTTTGCAAAGGACCCACCGGTTTGGAGCAAATAATCCTTTCAGAAAAAGTCTGAAGTTCGAGTTCTAGCATCATAGTGTCTGAAGTTTGAGTTCTAGCATCCGTGTATTCTCTGGATCGCCTCTCATAATATAGAAGGTTCTAAAAAATATATATAACAAATTGTACTGTTGTGGGTGTGCGTTGATATCCAGATTGCTAACACCTGTTACATCACAAAATCCAGTCCGTTTGGCAACAAATTAAGAATGACAGGTGGCCAAACTATTCCTCAACAGTATTGTTAGCTTAGCACCCTCTATAATTACTCATGCTTCTGAAAGCTTTTGTCTCCTTAAAAGAGGTCACAACAAGAAGTCGCTACAAGACACTATTATTATTGGCATGTACACTGGTGGGCCTTTTGAAAAGTGAAATCTCACCCATCCATCCATCCATCACTACTAGGTTGCAGACAAATTTGGGCCACTGGTGGGCCCACCATCACTCATTCGCTGCCACAAATTCTTTAATGTTTATTTAAGATTCACTGTGTGACCTAACTGAGAACCCAACTACCTTTACAAGAAGGGAAAATCCCTAAATTGTAGCATCAAATCAAAGTATGAAAACCTAACCCACAACTTGGAATCAACCAAATTTAGGTGGGACAAGACAATAGGAGAGAGACCACGGGGTTCTGAAGAATCCAATTGGGCTTAGGCCCACCATGTGTTTCTAACTTTATCATTGACATCTATCCTCCTATGTGGTCCTACTACTCAGCCCAATCTTTCATCTAATAAAGAAAGCTATAAAAATTATAATTAAAATTAAAAAAAAATTCTGTCATTATCCTGAATTCTCACCCGTAATGCATGCTTTCAATGCTACCTGAAACTATGAGTGCTAACATGTTTTATGGGTGAGAGTTTAAGGTACGAAACTAAAAATAACCATTTAGTGTTTATAAATTTAAAAAGGAAACTATTGTTGGCATCCCAAAATAGTCATTATAGATTTAGTTTTTTTTTTTTTTTTTCTCACTTTCATAGAGAAGTTGGTATTGAAAATTGTTCGTAAAGAGTGTATAATGACTATTTCAGAGTGTCAATTTCCTTAAACAAAACAATTGTTTCGCCACTTTTGTGCCCCACCTTTTAGTGTATTTTTTACATGTTCCCAAACAAATTAAGTGATGTGTGGCCACACTATTTATTAGGGGTGGGCACTTAAACCAGCGAACCAGAAATCTGAGCCAAATCGCACCAAACCAAACCCGAAAAAAATCGAGTTGACCAAAAAGTCAACAACCGATCAAAAACCAAACCGGATCAGTTTTGGATCCTGTCCCATGTCTTCAAAAACAGGATCCTATTCCATCCTGTTCCATGCTATATTTTTAATTTCACCCCAAAAAAAAAAACTAATATTTTTCCAAGTTCAATTTCAAAATATCTCTCTTTTCTAACTTTAATATTTATTTTTATATGAAATTGAATAATTTGTTAATTTTCAAGTAATAATAATAATATTTTAGTTGAGAATTGTATTACATTTTTATAATACAAATTTATAAAAAAACCCAATCCTAGACATGTATTTATAAAAAAACCCAAGCACTATTTAAACATAGAAACACACCCAAAATTAACCTCAAAGTCAACTTTTTGGGTGTGTTTATAAATGGGTTTTGAGTGTGTATAATGATGGGTTTTGGGTGTGTTTATA